ACAGTGAGAATAATGCTGTAGAATTAAATTTATCGGCACAGAAAGATCAGGATATGTTCCAGTTTGGGTAAGAAAAATATCTACACAAATATGTGCACAGAAAAAAATGTCTGGAAGGATATATATCAAGACATTAGGGAGTGCCTAGGTGGCTCAGTCAGTAAGCATCTGCCTTTGGCTCAGGTCATGGGATCGAGACCCTTGTAGGGCTCCCTGCTCAGCGGGAAGCCTGCTTCTCCCTCTCCCACTCCCCCTGCTTGGGTTCCCTCTCTCGCTGTGTCTTTCTCTGTCAAATAAATAAATACATAAAATCTTTAAAAAGAAAAGGGAAAAAAAGCACCAAACACAGAGATTTGAAGAAAGGGAAAAACACCTTTCCTTAGCATAGTGGAAAAACTCGAAACAACCTATATGATCCAGCAGGGTGGCCACTAGGCAAAGCATGGTTTATTACCATATCGATCTTGGTCAGTGCAACCCCAGTCTCCAAACTCAGGCTGGACATAGAAGGCTCAAATGCTTTTGGCATGGATGATGGTTTACCAAGGTGCTAGTCGAAGTGACAAATTCAATAACATACTTAGAAAATTTCCTACCAGTTATAGAAAGTTTCTGTGAAACTAAACATAAATATAGAACACGTATTTTTATGCTGCTGTATTTGCTGTGTGGTTGTACATGAACAAAGATCATATGATAATCAGAAGTGATGTAGAGGGGCGCCTGGCTGGCTCAGTCAGTAGAGCATGTGACTCTTGATCTCAGGGTCGTGAGTTCAAGCCCCACATTGGGCGTAGACCAAAAAATTAAAAAAAAATTTAAATGTAGAGACTAAAAATAACTTAAAGTAAAAAAAAAAAAAAAAAAAAAGAATGCAAGGAGGGAGCTTATGATTCCTTTTAAAAGTTCTACTTTTCCTAGCCCATATCTTGTCTGTGGCACTCACTTAAATATCACTAAGGATGTGTTGCTCTGACACAAGGAAGTCTGAAACCAAACAGGGGATATAGGTGAAGATAAAGATAGAAAAAAAAAAAATCCCCAACCCCTAGGAAATACAGCCAACTAGCATGTTTATTATTCACAAACTATGATTCATTGTCCCTATTTTTTCAAGCCAGCATCACACTCTAATCATATTGCTAGGTTACAGGCCCCTAGTTATTTGTGCATAATAAAAACTGAATCCATTAAAATGATACATTACATTTTTCTTGCCTATATCATCTCTTCAGGGAGAACATTTGATCATTATAAAACATAGATAATCTTGAACCTAAAGAGTACTTTGGATCCCCAAACCAGAGAGGTTTCCAGTGAAAATGAAATCCTTATCCAAAAATTCCTCAACCTGAAAAATGGAGTCAAAATCTGACGCAGGCAAAGAACTCTCTCCCTCAGGACCATGCAGGTGGCACGATTCTGTCCAGACAAGAAGAAACCTTTACATAGCTCACTAGTTTTACGTTCAGGAATACAGCCTACTCTTGAACACTCTCAAGAGAAACTCTCATACACACTTCTCTCCTGCTCTGAGAAACTAAACTACTGTGGAAAGCCCAGAGGCCAGGCATGAAACAAAATACACACATGTGAACTACAGTCCAATTTCATGATCAGAAGCTCTGATATGAGCTTAATGAAACATTCGCCTCATGGCCTCAGTATAAATTCTTGATATTGCCTAGTAAGATCATTCGTGGAGGTGATAACTATCAGAGCAAATGATAAGCAAGGACATTTCTAGTTAAGCCTCTTGTCTCAGATGGTATCCTCAGTATGTTTTTGTACACACATGGGCCTCGGTTCTCAGTGACATTGTTTACTCTCCTCTAAAACCAAAACACTGGCTGAATAAAAGAAATCGTATATATTGTAGCTGAAGATAGCATTTTGCCTCCCATGCTTCAGATCTGTTTGGTACCTGACAGAAACGGTACATAAACACCATTAAATAAGGACTAAAGGACAGTGATGATGTAATACAAACCAACACTGGGTACAAGATCCAGGTCCAGGGAGGACGGAAAACACTCACTAAATAAGCACAATTTGGATTAACAAGAGGCAGCCTGAAGTTAGTAACACCAATGTTATTGCATTTTTGGATATGATAGCCTAGAGTCTCAGCCTAGGATGAGTCAATGTCTAGCTTAATCAGACACGCTCTTGAAAGAAACTCACAGTATTGCTTCCAATGCACGAGTTATTTCATCAATCAAAAAGAAACAGCAGGGGTGCCTGAGTGGCTCAGTGGTTAAGCCTCTGCCTTCAGCTCAGGTCATGATCTCAGGGTCCTGGGATTGAGCCCCACGTCGTCGGGCTCTCTGCTCAGTAGGGAGCCTGCTTCCTCCTTCTCCTCTGCCTGCCTCTCTGCCTACTTGTGATCTCTCTCTCTCTCTGTGTCAAATAAATAAATAAATCTTAAAAAAAAAAAAAAAGAAAGAAAGAAACAGCATTGGGGCATCTATCTGGCTGGCTCAGTCCGGTAAAGCATTCGACTCTTGATCTCAGGGTCAGGAGTGCGAGTTCCACAATGGGTGTAGAGATTACTTAAAATAAATTTAAAACTTAAAAAAAGAGCACTGAAAATATTCTTTGGAGGGGCACCTGGGTGGCTCAGTGGGTAAGCCTCTGCCTTCGGCTCACGTCATGATCTCAGGGTCCTGGGATAGAGCCCTGCATGGGGCTCTCTCTTCAGCAGGGAGCCTGCTTCCTCCTCTCTCTCTCTGCCTGCCTCTCTGCCTACTTGTGCTCTGTCAAATAAATAAATAAAATCTTAAAAAAAAAAAAAAAGGGAAAGAAAATATTCTTTGGCGAGTGTATAACATTAAAAAAATAATGACAGTAAAAAACATGGGGGGTTACATTTATCACCTATGATATGCAAGGTGCCTTCACATGTCCTAGTTATCCCCATTTCACGTATCAGTAAACAGACTCTCTAAAAAGTAAAATAATCTGAGGGCACAGCTAGCAAGTGACCAGTTTGAACTCAGGTTTGTCCAATTTTACACCCAATAGGTTTTGCGGGATATCACTCCTGCCTAGTTTAACTGCAAACTCCGCAATGGGTTCCATTTAAAATTTAAAATAATAATTCTATGTTTGGGGATCAAAATTTTTACCGGTAGATAATTCCAGGAGTAAAATTCTGACATTTTACTTACAAAGCAGTTACACCAAAATGTAACTTTTTGATAAGGGTCTGGAATATTGTACCATGAACTTTGAGAAGTTTGGATTTCTAAATACAATTTGGAAATATTTACACAAACTGAAACTATAGTCCCAACTAAAGCTAAATAGTTATTTTTGGCTCTACGTTACTGAATAACTAAAATACTAGAATCCTGCGAAATAACAGGCAATGGAAAGATGTGGCAAAAAAAAAAACCATAAATACCTAGACCCTGATATGAAATGATCAATTTCCATATCATTTGTTTGATCACTATGTCACATAAACAAATGCTGAGGAACAGTTAACCAATCCAGGGTGAAGTGTTCACATTCAAATGTGACCCTAGTTGTAAAAGTGGATTCTTTTTTTTAATTAGAAGAAAAAATTGGGGCACCTGGGTGGCTCAGTCTGTTAAGCATCTGCCTTGGGCTCAGGCTATGATTCCAAGGTCCTGGGATCAAACCCCAGTGGGGCTTCCTGCTCAGCCCAGAGTTTGTTTTTCCCTCTCCCTCCGCTCCCCCCTTCCCCCCCCCGCCCCCGCTTGTGTTCGCTCTCTAAAATAAATACAATCTTTAAAAAAAAAAACAAAAAACAAACTTACATGAATTCTATCATGAAATGTATACAAATTTTCCCCTTAAAACACCCCCAAATTTGAAAAAGGTGATCTTATATTTTACTTCATCTATTTTCAAGGTCTTGTTACTCCAAGAGCACAGACTTATACCAAACATGCATGACCTCTGAAGACCTCACACTGTGGCACTCAGATACACACACGTCAATTCTCCACCTGGACACCTGGTACATGATATACCATATTAAAAGGTACATAGTGGAAGTCATTAAACAAGAACCTGAACCAATGTACCATAACCACATCCTGAACAATGAGGTTTTTTGTTGTTTTTTTTTTAAACTACTAATTTAGGTTTTTTTCAACTAGAAGGAAAAAAGCCAAGTCTGTCCACAAAATGTCCTCCCCGGCCACGGGGCCCAAATCTACAGCCTGAGTGAAAGTCTTAATATAGTTAAATAAATGTAATCCAGCCATTTCTCTCCAGGAAAAGATGAAAAAACCCTTCGGACCGCTCCACAGTGCTCTGACATGAAGAGACAGTCTCCATTTAAAGTTCTGAAGAGGCTTCACCGCTGTCTCACATGGGATCTTTAAAAAGAGTATAAATCCCACAGCTTAACTTGCTTAACGAAGTCCTGGTGCCCAAAAGGATGCCTCCTGCCTCTGCACACTTAGAAACCTGCAAGGCAGGTAAGCAGAACCATACTCGCAGGTAAAAATGCTTACTCGCTCCCAAGGGCATTCGTTTCCCGAAGTTCTCGAATTTTTAAAAGTTCAAACAAGGATTATAAGCGCAAGACATTCCCCTCCCCCTCGATTATAGGGCCCCTTCTATCCTTGCCCCGCGGCCACCGCCAGACAGAGCCGGCGCCCACCTGTGGGAAGGGTCTGGCAGGTGGGGCCGCCCTCCAAGCGCCTTCGAGAGGCCCCAAGGTGCCGCCGGGACGACGCAAAGTTGTGCGGGAGCGCACGGGGCCCCGGGAGACGCTGCCCGTGACAGCCGCGCTGGCCGGCGAGGCCCCTCGGGTGGCGTGAGCCTCGGCCCGGCCGACCGCGGCCGCCACTCAGGCCGGCCCCGAGGTGCTAGCTCCCCGCCCGGCGCCGTCTCCTACGTCCTGCCCGAGCCTCCGCTGGGGCGCTCGGGAGCCCGGGCCGCCGCCACCACCGCCGCGATCCCGGCTCGGACCCCAGTCCGCCCCGCGCTGTCCCCCACCCCACGCTCTCCGGGTCACTCACCCCGGGGCCAGGCAGCAGCAGCGCCAGCAGCACCAGCAGCAGCCGGGCCGGCATGGCGAGGACTCGGGCCTGGCTCCCGGCCCGGCCGGCCGGCTCCGGGGGGCGGTGCGGGCGGGCGGGCTAAGGACGGGGCGGGGGCGCCGCGACGACAGCGCCGCGGCGGCCGGACTTCAGCGGACGCAGACCTGACTAGGCGGTGGCGGCACCCCCATGCCCAGCCCTATAAGCGCCGGGTGCCGGCGCTTCTTCCGGTCGGGGCGGGGTCGGGGGCGGGGCAGACTGAGGGGCGGTCCCGAAACTGGGCGGGGGGGCGGGCCCGAAGGCGGAGCCTTGGGCGGGGCTGTTCTGGAGGGGCGGAGCCGGGGCGGTGCTGGCCTCCTGCCTTCCCGGAGTCACTCGGCCGCGGTCCAGCGGAGAAGACCAGACCTGGGTGTCCGGCGTCTAGGGGCGCTGAGCGTTTGAGGCAGGGAGCTTTGCCGAGGGCTGAGGGAGGCTGGCAGTCCCGCCCCGCGGGTGCACCCCTTCCCCACGCGGTCCCCAGGCGGTCCCACCAGCCCCACGGAGAGACCCGCTGTGTCAAAACTCGATCAGGGGAAAGTCCAGGACACTGGTGGTGCGGGCTGTCCAGAGACCCCGCTTCGTCTTTCCGTCGTGGTGGAATCATGGACGACCTCCGGAGCCAGGGTCAGCAGCTGGCAGAGACTCCAGCAAACACGACATTTCTGCCATGTGCGCAAGTCCACAGCTCTAGGGTGCTCCGACTGTTTCTCAGCGAGCCCCAAGGCCCTTTCTTCCGTTTGCCCTCAGGAATTCCCCTCAAATCTCGTCCAACAGCCATCTCTTCCCTTTGGAATAAACTACAGCCAAGGCATTCTCCAAAAATTATAAGCAAAGAAAGAATCCATTTCAGCGGCTTGCGTTGTGTGTTAATGTGGCATTTCGTAGATGTGACTTCGTGGAGCTGGAGATGACATGGGTCACAACTCGTTGGAGGGAGTGGGTATGTTGAGGACTCATACAAGATCTATTTGAGGATTGTAGCCTATCAACCTGAACTTAAAAGTCTGGCACCCAGGTCACAGTGTCCCCAGCTGCTCTCCACTTGGATGGAAGTGGAGAGAGAAGACATACTGTTTGAAACATGAGAAACTAAGACTCAAAGCATCGCATTTGCATATCCTTGGAGAAAAAGAAATAAGGGATAGCAACTTCTCTAATTTTTCCTGACTTGCTCACATAACAGCCTAAGATTTTTCAGGGTTTGGGGGAAAGGAGTAGGCAATGCTAGAGAAAACAGCAAAAAGTAGCAAGGGACAGCCCAAATGTCTGGATCAACCCTATTCAAATATAAAATAGATAGATGCTCACTGGAAGCCAAAATCCATAAACAGAGTTCCCTATTCCCAGCCCCCAACGCCCGGATCGAAGTCAAGGGACCTATCTCTACCACTGCTGGAGAGCCTAACACCAATTTTTTTAAAAATATTTTATTTATTTATTTGATGGAGAGATCACAAGTAGGCAGAGAGGCAGGCAGAGAGAGAGAGGGGGAAGCAGGCTCCGTGCTGAGCAGGGAGCCCGATGTGGGGCTCCATCCCAGGACCCTGGGATCATGACCTGAGCCGAAGGCAGAGACTTTAACCCACTGAGCCACCCAGGTGCCCCCCTAACACCAATTTTTAAGAGTGTGATGAATCTTGGCAACTGTGAAAGAGAGAGACATATTTTGAAGAGTGGTATCCGCACGTTTCACTGTAGAGAGGTTTGGGATTGACGGAGAGATGGGTGGAAGCAGGGGGTCTATCACTCCTAGGCAGAATAGCCCCGGGTCCAGGGAGGAGCCTACAATCCAGAGACTGGGAGGGGCTTTTTACCTGTCCCACTTGCCAGCTGAAGACACGATCTGCAAGACCACAAGTTTGAGTTAAAAGAGGAGCTTGACTAGAAAATACTGCTTTCACATCCCTTGTCTGGTGCTTTTTCTCAAACAGAGTATGTCTAGGAGGGGAACTTTCTGGCCTGGAATTCTGGCAGCCTTTTGATAATTCAAAATGTCACTGTGACCCTGTAAGCACAGTAGATGAAACACAAAAGGGAATCTGACTCATCTGACTCATAAATTAGCTTTAAAGATCCAACAAAGAAAAAAAAAAAGAAATCTGTTCCAAGGAGTCTAGGCCAGGTAGGTATATTTTGTATCTTGTACTCAGTTGGACCAAATCCCCAGGCCTTAACTGTGCTATTATAGATCGTCAGAATTTCTCAGAATTTCTTACGCAACACTTAGACTGTTCGTACACTTAATCAATTCCCATGTTTTATGCGCTTCTCCACTTAACTAGCAACTCCTATGATAAGCTCTGGTTTTATTTATGATAGCATTGCCCATAAGTCTGTTCCGTAATTACATACTGTTTTGACAGCTTTTTGCTTATGATAAAGCAAAAGCTGGCATCACTGATAAATAGAAACAGAAATGGAAATATTTTTGTAGGGTGCCTTTGAATTGGACCTGTAGAAAAGACCTGAAAATGAGCAGGCAGTCAATGACCTTTCTGGAAGTTGCATTAAATAGCATGCTCTAAACAAGGCCAAGGTCATGATCTTCGTGTGAAGATAAGCCCTCTCTTTTCACCAAGGAAAGAAAAATATGTGTATGGGATTCGGCACTATGTCTGGAATATGTCTGAGGACCGGAATATGTCTGAGGAGCTGGGGGTTGGGAGAAAGTAAGTTCACAAAATCTTATTTTCACTTCTCTCTGAACCAGTGATTCCCAAACTTGGAGAATGTTTAAAAAACAGATTTCTGACACCTTTTCCTGTCCTCGTCCCCCACTAGCATCTCCAGGGATGGACCCCAGAGGCCTGTATGTTTTCCAGTTTCTGCAGGTGACTGAGGGTAGCCAAGAGCCTCAGCCTCGGCTCTCTCATAATGTCCGGTGTTAATTCCTGCAGCCGCTAATCCCTTTTGTTTATTTTAGCAAATGTCGCCCTCTGGTGGGATAAATTATGACTCAGCCTCTTCATTTCTGTTTAAAACCCTTCAAAATTTCATTTAAAAATGATTAAGAGGTTGGCTTGCAGATAGCTATTCAGTGAGAGGGTAGCTGCCTTTGAAGGACTTTTTTTTTTTTAATTTAAAATCAATTTAATGATCATATGGCGTATTATTCGTTTCAGAGGTAGAATTCAGTGATTCATCAGTTGCGTGTAACATGCAGGGCTCATTACATTAAATGCCTTTTTAATGCCCATCACCCAGTTATCCCAGCCCCCCACTAACCTCCCCTCCAGCAACCCTCAGTTTATTTCCTACAGTTAAGGGTCCCTTATGGTTTGTCTCCCTCTCTGATTTCATCTTATTTTATTTTTCTTCCCTTCCCCTATGTTCATTCTTAAGTTCTGCATATGAGGAAAATCATATTTGTCTTCCTCATGAAGGAATCTTGAAAGGAAAAGAAGCTGGTAAAACCAAAAAGAGAGGTCATGGTTGACAGTTCCGGGACCGTCTCAAAGGAACAGTGTCTTTATCAGAATGAGGTGACTGACATTTTTGTGATGTCGATGCTACTGCTGCTGCTTCCAAACAGATTTGACCTTCCAGCACGTCTAGGGTAGTTACGAGATAAGTCAAACAATGAGGCGAGAGTCTCTGGTAGCAAGTGAAATCTTTACCTCCTTCAGGTTCCACCACTGAAGGGAAATTCAAGAAAAGCTGCTGTCACTGTGAGCAGTGTGTTTAGGTAAACAGAACTTTGGCTCGTCCTGTTCCGGAATGACCAGATCTGGAAAGACAGTGACACTCTGAAGAACTCTTTACCACAGAATCCAACCTACTGCACACTTCCTTGTGTTGCAAAGGGGAAGTGTTCCTCATTATCACAGTGAAGGGTTATTGGCTGTTGGCCGTTGTTTGGGAATGTGCGAGTACACGCTTTGTACGGTCACCTCACGTTACCTGAGCAGTTCCAGAGGTGGGTGTTTGCCCTGTTTTACACGTGACACGTTGAAATGTTAAAAGGTCCACAGTCTGGTGGGGGTAACATGTAGCTAGAAGGGGCACGACCTAGATTAGGACCCAGCTACGTACATGACGTCAGAGTTCATCTGGTCAACCCCAGGTGCTATGACACGCTCCCCCATTAGCTGCTTGTTATTCTTGTTCCTCCCCCAGCGTGATGACAAGGTACTATTATGTGACGTGTAAACATAGTTAGGAGCCCAGCTTGGCGTTTCCCTCGAGTACCGATAACAACCAGAAATGCATACAAATGTGTGGTGATGAGGGGCATTGCCTCAAATAACGTGTAAGACTCCTAGCCTCATCGGGGGTGTGTGCAAAAGAATGCAAATAATAGAGCAGCCATCTGGGAGAGAAGAGTGAGCTTCCTCCTGGCAGTTCTGCCCTGTAAGATAATCCAGTCTAATCCTGACTGATTATTTGTTCACTCGCCTGTGAGCTGCCGTATTTCACACTCAATTGTACCAAGTCTGTGTGCCACCATGGGGAAGCGTCCATGGTATCACCGTTTATCAGAAATGTATGTTCTCCAAGAGCCAACTCAGTACCAGTGTGAAAATGGCTGTCCTCTCAAAATGCCTCCTCTTCCTCACTGGCCAGTCCCTCCTACTCCCCTGGGGTCTGGCTTATTTCCACAGAACTCTCTGGAAACTTCCTTCAGGCAGCTCATAAACATTCTTCCTCTTGTGAAATCCCGGTGGCCATGGTTCATCTAGTTTTTCCTGAGCCTCCCTTCAGACGTGTTAATAGTTCTTCTTTCTGAACTTTTCCTCTCTGGGTGTTACCTTTTTCTGGCTCTTTCTCCTCCTTCCTGACTGTGTTTCTCACAGCTTAATATGTAGACCTTACTTTCTCTCCTTTCTCCCTAGAACTCATTCACAGACATAACCGGATTTCAGAGCAGAGGGCAAACTTCGTTTTAATCTAGTGAGCTTCCTTTTGCAGATGACTTCATCTCTGACTTCTCCACAGATGATGACTACTCATTCATTCATTCTTTTAGCAAATATTGCTGAGGGCTTCTGAAAACAAAGTGCCGTGAGGGAATATGACAGAGTTTGCAGGCTGGCAAAAGTGTTAGGACGTGCCCCGAAATAAGCACCATGCAAGGGTGACTGTGAAAAGTTTGAGAAAGCAGGAGTAAACTCAGAAACAGAATCATGGTGTT